GCACGTGTGCTTCGCGACAAGGTCACACGCGGACGCTCCAGCCTCTCAGCTCACCACCTCGCCTTCTCTGTCGCTCTCCTGGCCCAGGCCCATCAGTAGCACGCCTGAGCCGTCCCAGACCGCACTTACCTTGGGTCTGCAAGCTCACACCGGCTCGTGATGCCACGGAGAGGGCTCGAGATTGTCTCCGGTGCTGCCCGAGGCGGTTGCGAGGGCATTCCGGAGGTCATTATCGGCGCCACCGACCGTGATATGTCCCGACCCGCAGCCCTCATGCACCGGGCGCATGGGTGCAGTCATAATATGTAGGTCTTGTCTCCCGAAGTTTTGAGCAATAGCCGCAAATAGTACTTTTCGGCAGTTCATCACGACACGTCCAGGTGCCGACGAAGCGGCTTCCCAGCTCACCACCTCGCCTTCTCTGTCGCTCTCCTGGCCCAGGCCCATCAGTATCAAGTCTGAGCTGTCCCAAACCGCCCTTATCTTGGGTGATGAAGCCCACTCTGGCTCATACCACGGCTCTTACGGCCTCACACACGCCCGTTTCACCCACAGACACCGCCGGCACGCACTCCCACTTCACACATGTTCAAGCACAACCCCACCAAAGCACAGCCCTGCTCAGAATGGGCAAGATCCACCACTTGGTGACCCAGGTAGCTTCTGGCTCGCCACTGCACTCGGCTCCTCTGCAGCTGTCTCGCGCTCTCGCCACGACAGCACGCCGACGGCAAGCTTTGAGGTCCGTCTGGTGGACCTGCTGTCGCCACGGCCGCCACGCACATGCAGCTCACACCATGGCTCGACACCGGGGCCGCTCGTCCCGGTCGTGGCGGCGTGTGTGAAGGATGCGCGGCCGAGCCGCTGGCTGGCGCCGCTTAAACGTCCGAGATGGCCGCAGCACAGGCCATCGCTCAAGCAATCGGCCGGTGCTAGGGCCGCCGCAGTCGCAGGTGGGCCCACGGCGATGGGCCTGGTCGATTTCAGCCGACGGGAGGGCAGCAGGGCCGCGTGCGGGGCCTGCGCTTGGATGTCCCCGTCGGGCGCGTGGTGTGCCCACTGTAGGTGCCCAGGCTTTATTGCGCACTAGCAGACCTGGCGCGCACGCGCGCCGTATTTGTTTTCTGGTCTGTCTGTCGGTTCTCTCCTCGCAGTTCGCACCTGTGTCGAGTCTGTCTACTGTGAGCGAGAGTTGTTTTGTTTAAATTCTCTCCTCAGGGGGAGTGAATTTGTTGTAACTGACTGAAGGGAACGCCGCCGCCTGCGTCGGCGATGATCCTGTCGAGAAAGCGACCGCGCGAGCACCGGGCAGAGAAGAACGACGCTGCAGAAGCGGTTGAAGTGGCATCGGGCGTCTGCCGTTACCGGCGTGTTCGCCATCTTGCAGGAGGGCACACGTCGGACGAGCGTACTAACATGGCGGTGAGCCCATCGCAGGTATCCCCAGAGCCGCCCCGATGGGGCGATAGTCGTGACGCGCTTGACAGGACACGACAACGAGTCCCAGCGCTGGTTGAACATGCGCACCGTCAGCTCGCCCGAGGCCTGCTGCCTTCTCCAACTTGTGAACGCGCCCGGCGGCTGCAGCAATTCTTCTTCCTTGGCCACCATCGTTCCGGAGCAGGAGGAGATCCGTCGGGGTAGTATTAGGCTGGTCAAGACTACGCTGCCCGACACGTACTCGGCGTTCTCTGCGGCGCCAGCCGGGCCAATGCTGTAGCCAGCCAAGCCCAGAAAGGTCAGCTGCGGGAAGTGCGATCGCAGCCGGGGAAGGTCGCACTGTCCTTCCCACAAGTGCTCACTGTCGACTCGCAAACGTGTTTAGATAAAGCGTTAAAAAAAAAAGCCCGCACACTTGGACTCAGGCAGGCGCACTGCCTTCATATCGAGGCGGGAGGAGAGACGGAGAGAAGTGGCAGGAGATAGAACGACCGCAGTGGAGCGTCCGGGGATTTAGCGGCGGCCGCGCCGCGGCTGCGTCGCCGGCGTTGCTGCCGGTGCTGGCTCGGTGGCGTGGTCGCGCGAGGAGCCGGCAGCCTCGGCCACGAAGTCGTCGGTCGACGCCGGGATCTCGTCCAGCTCGGGCTCCGGCGGCTCCTCTCCCGCCTCCCAGTTGAGCGAGTTCTGGATCGCGTCGTCCTTGGTGATGTTGGCGCCGCGGATCTCGGCACGGTAGGTGAGCGTGCGCACGACATTGGAGTCGCGCAGCATGGAAGCCACATCGGGGTCGGTGAGGAACTCGCCCACCTTCCAGTGGTTGGGGACGCCGGAACTCGAGGCCTCGACGGTCGATGACGGTGACGACAAGGGCGGCGGACCGGGCGCCGAGGCTGCGTTCGGCCACCCCGCGCGGCGCTTGTCCGAGAACGAGACGTCTTGTGCTCCGCCCTCGGCACCGCCCCCTATAAAGAACGACCGATTCTTCGGTGCCTACTGCAACTGCACGTACTTCGTCTCGAGCGGCCGCTGCGATTCCAAAACGCAAGCGGGGGCGACCCCACTCCTTGACAACATCGTATGCGACCAATGGGAAGAGACGGCATCACGGTGCTGCCCGCCAGCATTGCCCCCGCCGCCGCCCGCGGAGCCGCCCTCGCCGTCACCGCCGCCCTCGCCGCCGCCGTCGCCCTCGCCGTCGCCGCCACCACCGACCTCGTCTCCTCCGCCCCCAGCTTATTCAGGGCCGTGCACCAGGGTGTGTACCACGGAAGTCGGCGGAACGATGACGACGATGACGTGCAGCCAATACAAAGAGACGGCGGAAGGAGTCGGTGGCGGGCTCGTTGGGGCGGATGCGTGCTCCGCATTGGCGGAGGGCCAGTTCGGCTTGACAATCGACTGCCTGCAGGAGTGCCAAGACTGCTGCGAGGAGGACCCGTGCGACAGGAAATGTGGGCTCTCCGCCGGGTATTACGGAGGGATGGAGTGCAGAGAGCTGTTCAACAGCCTTCCCTTTTGGTGCGATATGGACAGCGAGGCGCAGGACCAGACCTGCCCCCAATGCAAAGATTGCTGCGACTCTCCGACGCCCACCCCCACGCCCACTCCCTCACCCACCCCCACGCCCAGTCCCTCACCCACCCCTGCCGTCAACCCCGTCTGCGAGGGGGGCTTGCTTCCCCCGGTTGCAACAACCACAGGCTGCGATAACTACGAGGTCCTCTCCTCCAAGTACAGAAACGTAGACTTCAAGAGCAGCTCAGGCTACCAGAGCTATCATGGGCCGGGCGTCTCAAAGGAAGCGGTCGAAGAGGGGCACTGTCGTACTCGCAACGGCCAAGTGTTGGTAAACACAAATCAGGTGGTCAACGATGCCGACGATCCCGATGGAAGCGCCTATCACGACCCGCGGAATTCCCCGGGTTGCTGTGACCAGCACTACAGGTGGTGGAACACTCAGCCATGGATTGGGTGGTGCGAGTGGAAGGGGAGCAACTGGTATCGATTCATGGGCGAGGCAGGACACAAGATCGCGGAGGCAGGTGATCCCATTGGAGACAGCGACATGCATACGGCCACCTGCAATACCGTGCACTCGTACGGGATGCTTGGAGGCCACCCACGAACGTATAAGCAGGAGGTGACAAGACAACTCTACAGTGCGTGGCCCAACAACGGCGGGGGCGGGTACACCACCCAGTCTTGGGCTCGCATCAAGGTCCAACGTTGCCCTGGCGATTTCTTCATCTACCACCTCAATGATGTGCCCATTTGTTACCTTGGCTACTGCGGTTCCTCTAATCCACCGTCGTTTGAGTGATGAGGTTGGTGGGAACGCCTTTTGCGCACGGCCTTTCTCCGTCGCCAAGTGGCGGAGCGCGAATCCCTGTGGCCTGGGCCGGGTTGATGAGACGGAGAGAGAGACACACAGAGCGAGAGACAGGAGTTGTTTTTGTGATGCGGGTGGCCCTGTTGAGTCTCTGAGCCTAGAGCCGCCGCTCGCGCAGCCACGAGCTCCCCGCAGTTGCGCAGAAAACCTTTAGCCGATCTGACCGCGCGAGCAGAGTCTACACTAACGTAACAGAACGCTCGAGAGAAGCCGTCGAGGGGCTCGAGCTCCGTCCAGCTGCACAGCTGCGTCCCGGCGGGTTGAGAGAAGATGTGTCGTCTGATGTGTCACTGTGTACGTCACACCAGTCTTGATAACAAGCACGGTCGATCCGTCAAAGCGATACACTCGTTCCTATCACGTTGGAGGGCTGGCACAGAGAGCGACAAGAAGGCGTCCGCACAGCAAGCCGCTCGTCGGACAGGCGTGCTCGGACGCTCGATGTCGGCGAGCGCATGGCGCACGCTTTGGACGGCGGCGAAGCCAAAAACACCGGCAGTGGCCGTCCGCTAACGTGAGCGGCGGCGGTCGAGACCTCACCCTTCGCGCCGACCTAACCTCACTCGGAACAACCCTGACAAACCCAACCTACAAAACAACCAAAAAGCACGATTCTCAAGTTGGGCCCTCTGACTGTTCTTCACCTTCCTACCTAACCCAGAAGAAAAGTGGGAACCCCCTCAGGGTGAGAGGACACCCCCCCCACGGTGGCCGAGCTCAAGAGGCCGCCTGCCGATAGTTTGTTCTTCTTGAATTGGCGCGCTCCCAGGCGACGCCGTCAATAGTTTCAATTTTTTTTGGAACTGCTTAGGCTCCGGTGGTTTGCCTGTGATAATGCTAGCACGCGCCAGTCCGCACCCTTGTCCCTTGGTTTACAGAATTTGGAGAATTTGGAGTGCAGTTGGCGGGCCCGGTAAATTCTTTCTGGTGAGCCTGTGTGTGTGCCAGTCCGCGCCAGTCTGCGCCCTTGTCGTGCCAGTGTGCTGTGAGAGAGGCTTGTATCTTAAGAATTCTTTCTGGAACAGCGACATGCAGAAGCCACCGGCTCCGAACCGCCAGCTCCGAAGTCGACCTCGCGTCGCGTCGCAGATCCGACACGAGTCTCCCTGACAGCAGTCGGGCTTGAGGTCGAAGGTCGATGGATCCCTTTCTCGAGTTCTCCGAAGGCAGCGGTGGCACGGCAGCGGCGACCTCAGCCTCGCCAACCGAGAGCGCGTGTGCCACCATCCGGGCGCTCGAGGAGCTTCAGCCCTTTGAGCCGCTGGCCAAGAAGGGACAGCCGCAGCCCCGCCTGATTCGGCAGGTCGACACGCTCATGGCGCGGCACGCTCTGCACCAGCAGTGCATCGGCGAGCTCTCCGCGGTGGCGGGTGCGGCCGGCGAGGAGGCGAAGGGCCTGCCGTCGCTGCTGCAGGAGCTGGGAGGGTGGCACGACCGGCTCGTGCAGGAGATGGCGGCGCTGGTCGGAGAGGCGGTGCGGGAGGGCGAGCAGTCGATCGACGAGGCGCGCGCGCGCGCACGCCGCGCCGAGGCAGAGGCGGCGGCGCTGTCCGACGCCTCCGGTGAGCTCGGGCGGAGAGTGCAAGCTGCAGAGGAGGAGCGGACCAAGGCGGTGCGCGCCTCCCAGCTGGCGGCGGACGCGCTCGTGCGCGAGCGGCGCCGGGCGCAGGTGGCGGCGGCGGAGGCGGCGGCCGCCACCGCGCTGCTGCCGCAACGGCACCCGCCCGCCGGTCTCGCGTCGTCTCTGTCGGCGGCGGCGTCGGCGTCTTCGGCGGAGGCTGGCGAGGCGGCACGGGCGGAGGGGGAGGCGGCGGGGGGGGGGCGGGCGCTGACGCTCAAGGCGGCGCGCGAGTTCATCGACGAGCTGTGAACAGCGTCTCTTCACACCTCCTGCTGTGAATAGGCGGCGCGTGAGTTCATCGACGAGCTCTACGCCTCCAAGGCGCGGCACGACGAGCGGTGTGCGCAGGACGCCAAGCTGCTGCGCGAGACGGTGGAGCAGCACCTGTACTCGTACCTCAACACGAAGTACGGCCTCAAGCAGCTCATCACGCGCGACGTGGACGCCTGTCTGGACGCGGTGCGCCGCTTCTCTGCTGAGGACAACGACGTCGCCACCTTCGGCGCCATCCTGCGCAACGAGGAAGACGACGCCCCCCTTCCGCCTCCCTTCCGCCTCCGTGCGGCGTCCGTATCTCGGCTCGACCTCGGCTCTCTCTCTCTCGGCTCTCAGGTAGACGAGCCCTTCCGCCTCGTGCAGCGGCAGCTCAAAGAGACGGTGCGCGCGCTGCTGACGGCGCACCTCAAGGGGAGGCACCCGCACAAGTCGGACGCACAGGTGGAGAGCGCGGTGCTCGCAACGGCGCGGCAGTCCCTGCTCACGCCCTCGCCTGTCTCGCGGCCTCCGCAGGTTGCGAGCTCAGTCCTCGCAAAGACGCGCGGCGTGGTGCAGGAGGAGGAGTGGAGGGACGTTGTGCTGTACATGCACGCGCCAACGGACTCGGCACCGACACGTGGCAGGACATGTCCACGACACGTCCCCGGCCCCTCAGGTACGCGCCCGAGGACGCGGCCCTCCTCCTCTCGAGGCTAGCGCAGAAGGAGTCCGCACTTCGCTACGCGCCGAGCGCGGAAGCTCTTCTCTTGAGCGGTGCGTGTCTGTGTCAGGCGGCCGCCCTCGCCGCAGACTCACCGCCCCGCGGGGGAGGAGGAGGGGCAGCGGGGGGGGGAGCGCGACCCCGCCGCAGCGCGCCTCGCTCTCGGCGGGAGAGCGACGGCGGGGCGGCTGCGAGGCGAGCGAGCGGGCCGGGGCAGAACGCGGCACCGCTGCGGAGTGAACCTGCTCGGGACCTTGCAAACAGGCGGGCCGGCAGGCCCCTGCCGTACAAGGCGCTGCTGCAGGTGTCCCTCCCCTCTCAGCTCTCGTCTTCCTGGACACCCCTTCTCGGAGCCGTCTCGGAACCGTCTCGGAACCGTCTCGGAACCTTCTCGCAGGTGCTGCTCGGCTTTCAGCTCGACGGCCACCGCCAGTTCCTGGAGCACTTTGTCGTCCTCTTCCGCTCCCTCGACACCGCCGGCAGAAGAGAGTGTCGGCGAGCCCTCTCTCCTGTCTCCTTCTCGGAGCCTTCCCGGAACCTTCCTGTAGGCCGCGGAGTGCTCGACGAGGATGCGTACCGCGAACCAGATGCGGGGACACGCCCCCACACTCCAACTAGCGTTCGCTGAGACACCCGTCGTCTCTCGGCTGTCTGCTTCACGCGATGCGACGAAGCCATGCGCGGGGGGCGATGCCGTGCGTCCAAACATGAATGTGTTCGACATAGGTTCCGCATGCTGGTCCGCGCGATCGCGCCGGCCAAGAGCGAGGGCGCGGTGGAGGAGCTTCTGCTCGCGACCGATCCGCACGACCACAAGCGGTTCACCTTCTCGGATTGCGTCGTGGCGCTCAGCCAGGACCTCGTCGCCCTGCTCGCAGCGCCCTCATTGTAGGCGCTCACACATGATGTGCATGCACAAACCGAGGAGTGTGCGCAGGCGGAGTACCGCACTGGCGCAGGGTACCATCCTCTTAAATTTTGACATGACTCATGTGTGTCCAACTCTACCATGAGTTGCCGCGGGGCGCGGCATTGGTGTCCATTGAGCGAGCGAAATATAAATTTTATATAAATAAATAAAACGGACACCTCTACTAGCCACGTAGGAAGGAGAGATGGGGCATTTGGGGGCCTCAGGACTAG